GCCAAGATAGGTTCATCACGAGCAGGAAGGAACAAGGGAAAACAGGAGGTTTTCCCCGTGGACCGACCCGTGACGAGATCCTATTCCTGGGCCCTCAGCACTATCTCAGTAATCAACTTTTCCACCTCTTTCTTCCTTTACCTTAGCCCYTATCCTTTCTTGTATATTTCTTCACCCCTAATGGCTTTTCTAGTAAAGTTTTCTTCTTCTTCTTAGGTTCTAACTTATGCTCGGATGGATGAATCAGGCAGTCATCTGAAGTTGTTATCCTCTAGTTGTCGGCTAACTCTCAGATATTGTATGTTTCTGGCAAAATATCCCATAATTTTTTGACAGATATTTCTATGTTTGTATTGGCTTTTCATATTTTTTTGGTATGCAACGCATGTAGCTTGTTGGGGTGTTTGTCATCTATTTATACCACCACCCATTTATGACCCATTTACCCAACTCATTCAATCGGGACCTATTAACTAACCTGACCCAGCCCATTTACTACCAAGGCACTGATTGTTTGACGACAGCTGACCAGTCGTCCCACCCAAAAGAAAAAACAGAAAAAAAAGTATCTAGACCCATTAGCAGAAGGTTGTTTTTGATAGGTCAAGTGTAAAGATTGCCACCCCTATGGCCTCTCAGAGATATTCTTTATCATTTTAATTTGTCTTTTCTTGCTTTGATGGATATTGGCCATGAATAACATCTAGAGTTCTGGAATATGGTGTTTCTGTCTGTCATCTTATATTATCAGTGAGGCTGTCATGGGTAGGACATGAAAATAAAATGTAGTAGTATTCTTAAATATATCTTTGTGATCAAATGCTGTTACTGATTGCGCCTTTTTTTTTGAGATTTAATCCTTGTATAATTGTATCTTGGCAGTGCATCCTTTGACTCTACAATCAAGCTATGGGATGTGGAACAAGGCATTCTTCTGCATAGCTTGAATGGACACAGGTACAAATCATGAACACGAGTCTTGTCACATGTGTTGGTCTAGTTATGGGCAAACCATTTGCTAAATTATAGCTAATTCTACACCTTCAGGCCCATGTGATCAGATAATCTTGCCTGCACAAGTGCATTTATTTAGATAGTCTTTTCATGGTCTAAAAATATGCAAATTTGATAGGAYAGGTCATCCGTCTGGAACTCTAGATATGTTTTTGGCCATTTGGATCTATAAGGTGAGACAGGTCTCATGGTTTCTCAAACCCTTCCAAGTGAAACTTGCTGTTCACATGCAACTTCACAA